ATATGATAGAATTACTGAGGTTCGCGGAATGTTCATGGTTAACCACCTGTTATATTTTAAATAGTAGGTCTTTTACTGGACGCGCTAGGTCTAAATTTAGTAAATTAATAATTATAATAAAATATAAAGTATAAAGGCTTAGATTATCTATATCCACTATTGCCTCTGTTAACTATGTATTATGTATTTATCTACTTCTTGAATTGTTCCGAACATAATAATGAATGTGTTATTCAAATAAAAGAACAGTAACATATTTAATTATTTATCGTATTGCATTAAGTAGATGGGGCAGTTAATTAACAGTATCTGAAACTAGTATATACAAATACTGCAGTATTAGTAATTAGGCATTATACAGCACTTGTAAGAAAAAAATTTTGTTAACTCTGCAAATAACGTGACCCACCGATTAAATTCGGTAGTTTCCGCCTCCTTGAGACGTAAACATCGGTTCACTTCCGGTCGCAGTTGACGTCTTGAAAAGACGATACACACAAAATGGCACGCAAAAATAACTCACGATCAGGTAGTTATGTAATGCATTATAATATTTTATGATCAGCATTCCTTATACTCAAATTTTACTTAGCTTACTGTTTATTAATTTTCCATCTTTTTATCTAGATCCTAGATACTATCATCGTTATGCATTCATTTTTAGTTAGGCTAGATATCAAGAGTTTGGTCGGCTTTTTTTAACTTTCCGACTAAAAAAAATTCACTAAAACTGGAAAATCAAAATTTTCAATGTAATTTAAACTAGATCTAGTAGATTCTAGATTTCTAGATCTAGATTTTAGATCTAACTAACATCTAGATTCTAGATCTAATTCTAACATTGATTGAACTTTTAAAAATCTCTAGATCTAGATATATCTAAATCAGCTTGTAGAATTACATACGAAGTGACTACGCGTCTCGCAAAGCGTGGCCCCTAAAGAATATACTACGCGTCTCGCAGGTTTGATTTGCCATCTTATAATTGAAAATGCTTACTTTTGACATCTCTATCACATTCGCTGTGGTTGAGTCAACAGTGTGCCAGCTGTAGTCTGAAGTTCATAGACCCGGAGTTCAGAGTTCGAACCCGGGGTTAAATCGGCCAGTTTTTTTTTTTACATTTTTAATTTATATTGAAAATATTTTTTTTTTAAATAAAATTTCCAAACATCGTCATTGTCGTGATTGCTTGCCTTACGTTTACTATCTCGTGGGTGGAAAATCCCACCACGGCCCACGGTCGGCGAGGTCACTGAGTTCAGCAGGCCTAAAGCATACGTCATAGATGTTCACACGAGATCGTCTGTCTTCACTTCTCTCTTCCTCCCACCCCCCTCAAGCAAATTGAATTTTTTTTTAAGTTCACGTAGGATAAATAATATAGACTTAGATTTACTATCACGCATGCTAGATAGCTATGTCTAAAGGTTAAAGGACAGTTTGATTTAGCTAGGTTGCTGCTAGATCTAGGACTATCATCTGACCCATCTGACCTCACAAACTTTCCTTGACACTACACTGTACTGTTTTTTTTACAAGTACTAGACTCTTATGTGTTGAAATAATATAGAGATCTAAATACACTTAAACTCGATCTAGATCTATGTCAACATTAAATTGTTACCACAAAAAAAATCGGGCAGTCCTGATATCTGTTTTTTTTAGATCGCGTGCCACCTAGGGTAAAGTTTATGCGTAACGCGGAGCGAACTGCGCAAAGGCGGCCTTACACGTAACGCGGAGCGAACTGCGCAAATGCGGCCAGAATTACATAACCTAGCCTACAAGTTACTAGGATCTAGATCTAGTAGTACCCTCCCTCAATTTAATTGTGTACATTTACACAGTACACTACTTATACACTAGTCACTAGTCTACACTCACTAATCATAGATCTAGAACTCTAAGTACTGTAAGTAGTGTACTGTGTAAATGTACGCAATTAAATTACTTATAATCCAGCGATTTAGATTCTAGAATCATCTCAATGATATCAATTCTAATTAGTATTAGGCCTACTAACATAGTCATTAACTGGCTTAAATATCTGCTTGATCGCTGAGTATCAGATGGATCTGACGTTTGGTAGTTTTCACCAGGCTTTTCTTCCACCCACTGAATGCAAAGTAAAATACTAAAATTCACTGTGGGACGTCGAGCCTGTCCGTGCTTTGTACGCTCAAGAGAGTGGTTTATCGTGACTAGTTTAATTTAAGAATAAGGGAGAATGTTTACACCGGTGTCTGAAAATGGAATCTTCTTTAAAAAAGGGGTGTTAGGTTACTGGTAGTTAACTAAATACACTCATGGCTGGCTAATGTCAATGCTAACCCTGTCCCTAACCCTAACCCCAACCCTGGTCCAAACATACGCCTAACCCTAATTTCTAATCATAAAATTAGTCGAGATTACAATACTACTAACAACCCAACACCCTTTTTTTAAAGAAGATTCCATTATCGGAAACTGCTATCTATAATCATCCGAATATTAGTAGGCCAAATAGTAGACGTTAGATTAAGTATCATGATATTCTAAGTCTAGATTCTGTAGGCATATTATTTATATCTATTCTCTCGCGAGGTTTTGCTATTTTTGTTGATAATTCATGCCGATAACCTAATACTTAAAATATGCAACTGCTAGGTTAAAAGCCTATTTTATGTTTAGGTCTACTATTTAATTAGTTGGCCTTATTATTTTAATGAACAGTTTTAAACAAAGAACTAGCCTATAATATTATGGTTACAATTTATTAGGTAGCACAAGCTTGTTCTCCAAGAGCTTCCCTGTTCGCTGTTGTTCCTCCCAAACTTTATATAGATCGCATTCCGTCACAAAAAAAATTCTTTATAATTTTTTAAAAATTGTACAGTAAAAATCACAGAAGAGAGCCATGATTTTATCAGCAGCCCATATATATCTTATTGTAGCAATTTTATAATGTATTTTTTTGCTACCGATTAATACATTATGTATTAACAAATCAATAGGTTTTAAAAAAAAAATGTCTAACATAATATTTTAGTTCACTGTAGTAAATATAATTAAACTCAAGACTAAAGTTTTTATTTCTTTTCTTCAACAGAAGCATCTGGATCCATACATTTTGATACCAGAACAAAAGCAGTCATGGCAGAAGCCACTCAGGATAACATCAAAGAAAAGGTAGGATTATGATTTAAATGTAGTTACATTCTTAGCCAATCTTAGCTACACCCTTTTATTGTTATTGCTGGTATTGTCTGCTGCAGCATTGGGCTTTGTTGACAGTTAAAGTATTAAAACCTTTTTTTACTGAACATTAAGGGGTTATCAAAGTCCTGCTGCACATTTTTTGTTCATTATTCATTTAAATTTGGGATGCGTTTCTGGGTTGCATGCTTAGCCCATTCCCCATGCTTTTCTTCACATATTTTAAAATATTTTACTTCTAGTACCCTGGTACTTAGATTATTGATTTATGAAGCAAGAGGTTCAAAAACTATAAGCAATCACTAAACAACACAAATGTTTTTTTGAAATTACTACAACAGAAATTAATTATTTACAAATAGAGTGAATTTTCAATTTGTCAATATTTCTCTACCTGCCCTATGTAACTAAAGCAGTTGTTATTAGCCATATACAGCCAACCACCTACCATTTGAACTATAAAATCATAGGTTTTGCACTAGTTAAATTTTGTGTGCAAAAGTTATATAAATAATTTTGCTGAATTTTTAAATATCTATCTAACCTTTTATGTTGTTTGCTAGGACTTGTTTCAGTATTATGTTGTATGGTGTGATAAAGCTACATCTTTCATGCTTATATATAACTTGACTGACTACATATTATTTATGATACTTCTTATACAATATTTAAAAGTTAACATCAAATGCCTTAAAGTAGTTAGTAGTATCTACTTAATATGTAGTAAACTCTTAAAGTAAGGGACTGCTTGGTTTAGCGGTAAAGCGTTAGACTGCTAACCCGAAATTCTTGAGTTCAAATCCAAGTTTAAGTCAATGGAACATTCCAGAGTCCACCCAGCTCTGTTGGGTACCCAACTCTGGTTAGGGAAAGTAAAGGTGTCTGGGCATAGTGCTGACCGCATTATCTCTTCATATGTTGAAGTCATGACTCATATGAACTCTACTTCATCTCCCAAATGGATCGCTAGGTCAAAAGAGGAATCTTTACTTTTTTATATTAAAACTCATGAAGCAAATGTTTGCTATATGTGGAGGTATTTTATTTTGTTCAAATAGTTTAAATCTCAGGCATATTTCAGTTGTCATTGTTCTGACATTATTTATGTCCTGACTCCGCTAGTTGTTTGACACATGCCTAGTATAAACCATGACAAACCTCACAGCTTTTTGCTCTGAGCAGTAAACTTTGTTTAGGCTATGCATTATTAAAAAGATCATCTGGTGATATTTGAGGTGTTTATTTTTTTTTATAGCCTAAGCTGTAAACACTTTTGACACATAATAAAGTAATAAACTTTCATTCAGGGAGAATACTCATAAACAGTAATTAAAGGGATATGTTTTTTTTTCCTGCAATGGATTTGCGAAATATGTAATTGTGATTAGTTATTTAGTTTTAAAATTTTCACATGTTTGATTTTTAAAATCAACAAGGAGACTGGTCATGACAAGGGTTGATATAAACATGACAGTTGGCTGTCATTATCTACATGTATGTTTGGCACCAGTTAACCTTTACTTTATGGGATCATGGGTAAATTCATATCCACATAGGTCATCTTTGGGAGAGGGGGGGGGGGGGGGTAAACAAAATATGAATTGTACAGAAGGCATGTATGTAGTTTATAAGTTATACTATACAGTATTGAGAAATTGCTTTAGGAAACCTCAGGGTTTTTAAACTATACAGAACTTAATGGTAATGTTAGCATAGAGAGATTTTATTTATGATAGCTAGGTTTTAAGGGTAAACATACATCATTAGGAACTAGGCAAGATTTTGGTATAAAGAACTATTTGAAAACTGTGTACTGACTTTATATTTGATCCAAACTTTTAAAATAATCACCTGAGACTGTCTGGCCTAAGACAAGGGCTGATGGATGCTTTATTGAGAGAACTATTATGTTTATAATTGGAAAACCTCATAAAGCTGTTATACCACAGCAGCTTACTGGGCTATAAACCTATTCTGCCTCAAATCAATATGTTCAATTATTTTATTCAGTTTATTGCATTATTACTAGAACATTCTTTTTTTTTTCTTTGCAAATTAGAAAATAAAGTGTGGGGATTATAGCTGGTAGGCTTTAGCTATATGTAGTCATTGTCTTAATTTTAACATGGTATTAAGCATGAAATGATTGCATTTAACAAAAAGTTTATTTAACTTTTTAAATTTTGACTTTTTCTGAAACCATTCCCAAATCAGATGGCATTTGTTTTGGGGTTCGTTTTATTTATTTATTTTTCACCTAAAAATGCTTTTTGTAAAAGGTAAATATTCAGTGTTGATTTAGTTCTTTCATTTAAATAATAGATTATGATGGGCAAGTTAATGTTTCTGTATGTATGAGGCCTAAATATAATCCAATTTATGTCCTTAAAATGCTGTTGAAGACTTGTGTAGTTTTTAATCCAACTAGATTACTAAACAAAAACGTGTATTTAAAATTATTTTTTTAGTTTTATATTTTCTGCACGTGACGAACTTGAGCACTGTAGTTGAAAGCTCCGAGTTCCACTGTCCCGTTCTATTGTCTAGGTTATAATTAGGTTTCCTATTGATTACCACCCCAGTACATTTTTACTCAGGTACAATCGTTTGTATTGTGGTCATGTATCGATAATCTATAAGACATCGAGCTGGATCAGTCGCTGTACGCCACGTCGGTTGATAGTGGCTTGTTGGGCTGGCACGTCACACCGGGTCGTCTGCTGGGATATGGGTGGTGGCTGTCTTGTTTGGGGCGGCATCTGTTGATGCTGTTTTTAAACTGAATTGCTGTTCAGATAAAGGGGGGGGGGGCGTGTTTACTTTTACTTCAGTGCTCTTCCGGGAAGGGGGTGTAGTTGCTTTAAGCGTGAATGTTTTTTTTTTTCACTCGGTAATAGTTGAAATGCCTCCGTGTATATATTTATAAGCCGTTGTTGTCGGCCCTACCTCGGCTATGGTGCTTCTAGTTGCTGAAGTTGATTAGCAAGTGATGATTTCTGCAAAATCAGTAGCTTTATGGGGGGGGGGGGGGAAGAACCTGAAATTTTTATTTGTAGGTAAATTAAATTTTTTTGAAAAGAAATCGTGTAGCCACGCATCTGATCTGCAAGACGTATAGCGTCTCGTCCATCACCACAAGCACTTCCTCCTTTGCTACAACCACTTCGCCCATCACCACAAGCACTTCCTCCTTTGCTACCACCACTTCGCCCATCACCACAACCACTTCCTCCTTTGCTACAGCCACTTCGCCCATCACCACAACCACTTCCTCCTTTGCTACAGCCACTTCGCCCATCACCACAACCACTTCCTCCTTTGCTACCACCACTTCGCCCATCACCACAACCACTTCCTCCTTTGCTACAGCCACTTCGCCCATCACCACAACCACTTCCTCCTTTGCTACAGCCACTTCGCCCATCACCACAACCACTTCCTCCTTTGCTACCACCTTTTCGACCATCACCACAAGACTTCCTCCTTTGCTACAACCACTTCGCCCATCACCACAACCACTTCCTCCTTTGCTACAGCCACTTCGCCCATCACCACAACCACTTCCTCCTTTGCTACCACCTTTTCGACCATCACCACAAGACTTCCTCCTTTGCTACAACCACTTCGCCCATCACCACAACCACTTCCTCCTTTGCTACAACCACTTCGTTCATCACCACAACCACTTCCTCCTTTGCTACAACCACTTCGTTCATCACCACAACCACTTCCTCCTTTGCTACAACCACTTCGTTCATCACCACAACCACTTCCTCCTTTGCTACAACCACTTCGTCCATCACCACAACCACTTCCTCCTTTGCTACAACCACTTCGTTCATCACCACAACCACTTCCTCCTTTGCTACAACCACTTCGCCCATCACCACAACCACTTCCTCCTTTGCTATCACCACTTCGCCCATTGCCACAATGTCATGACGATGACAATATATGCCATTTAGTCAGAAGTCATCCAGTAATATAACAGCATGTATTATTTTGAAGCATTGTGTTTTGTACTAGTTTTCTACCAACGATCTCGTGTGTTAGGTTATAGTAATAAAAACCTATGTCGTCTTTAAAGGGTCTGGTAATAGCTATCACTCTAAACGCCTTCTCCACTCACATCGATCTCAGTATTTTAGTTCGAATGTAGCCTATGTGATAGTGAATACATGTCGGGTCACGTCAAGTAGATTTTATCTTAACCGCTGCAGTTCTTAAGTTTTTCGGATGCTTCTTCTGAAGGTTGAAATGGGGGAAGTTACCAAGACGACTTGATACTTGGATTCTCTGATAACGATTATATCACAAGGCGAGCGGTTAAGTCGTTTTTTTTTTAAATCTTGTAACCAAAAAGGCGTGTAGTTATGTTTTTATCTTCCGTATCTTGAATGAAATAGGGACAAGTACTTTAACTTGTTCCTCTTTTATCGTGCGTTGCGCTTATCCCATCAGCGTCGATTTCCCCCACGTAATTTAATGCATCCGATTGTCATCATTTATGTTCTGATGTTAATTGTTGTTTAATTTGTCCAAGTTTTCATAGCATTAATTGATAGCTCCATTCTCACCGATTACACTGATTGGGTTATAAAGTTGACCAGCAGATCGTATAATGCCCATTGTTTTATTATCGTCTTATTTTCCTAAATCCACAGCAGGTCTATCCATACAATTGACGTTTTTATTCTTTTTTTCCCCTTTATTAAAAATTAATTGCCAACTGTAGACTAAACAAAACAAAAAAAATTAATTGTATAAACAGGGGTAAAAAAAAGAAAAGTTCCCTTTTCAAACCTAACGGTCTATAGGGCAAGTGAAGTAGAGTTCACTTGTTTCTCTGACCTCGGCATATGAAGAGATAGTGTGGTCAGCACTATGTCCAGCCGCCTTTACCTTCCCTAACGTGAGTTAGGTACTCATCAGAGTTGGGTGGGCTCAGGGACGGTCTACTGACTTGAACTCGAGACTTACGGGTTAGCAGTCCAGCTCTCTACCGCTAGGCCGCTCCGTCCCACGTGAACAGAGGTGGCCATGCGAAAAAGTTTTCGGAACCTGTGTTCCAGCCGATCAGTGAGTCAAGTTCCTCTTTCAGACTTAACGATCTGTAGGGGAGATGAAATAGAGTTCATGAAGGGATGGTCTGGTCAGCGCGATGCCTAGCCGCATTTGCTGTCACCGACGTGAGTCAGGTACCCATCATACTCATGAATGTTCTTGATGTCTTGAGTCGGGACCGAGGATCGGAGCTCGAGGCCTTCGGGCTAGCAGTCGAGCGTTCTACCACCCGACCACGTCGTCCCAGCCCTTCTGTATTATAAAGTGGATGTAAGAATCCTTGCATCCTTTGTTCCATTATTGTCCAATCTTCCGACTTGTTTGTTTTCCATTGATTGCTTGCTTCTCACCCGAGTGCCTCTATTATAAAGTTGATGCTTGGGGTCCTCTGGCTGACAGCCGCCGTTAACAAGACACATACGTCATAACGTGTCAGGGCATTGAGCGATTGCTTGTGTGATCCGGGACTATGTGCGAACACGGCGTTTATTTACACGGCGGGGTGTTGACGCTCTGTGGTCTCTTAGTCTTTCACTGTACACATTTTTTTACCGTTGTATTTTACGATCGTATTATTTAAAAAAAAAAAAAAACAGCATCACTTCATAGGCCTTGTAGTCGTATGCTAGAGGGCAGTAGAGGCCTAACCTCTAACTAAACAAGAGCGTTCCCGTTGTTGTTTGTATGCCTACCAAATCATTGATTGCTGTGTTTTGTTGCGTTAACATTTACAAGTACTACCCCCCCCCCTCCCCATGCCTTTTGTTATTGTTTCTTAGCGTGAAGCCTAATAAAGTCTAGTGATTGTTATATCAAAAAGTCTTGTCAGACGATTAAGATAATGGATGGAAAATCAATGAGAACAGTGGCACGTCTCTTTTGTTTCGTGTCTTCAGGCCACTACGGGGGTCTCTGTCTTCAAGCTTATTTGATTGACGTAGATTTTTGTTTATATTTTTGTTAAATGGCGTGGGCTTTTGTTTACATTTTGTTAAATGACGTAGGCTTTTGTTTACATTTTGTTATATGACGTAGGCTTTTGTTCACATTTTGTTAAATGACGTAGGCTTTTTGTTAACAATGTTAAATGACGTAGGCTTTTGGTTAAATGACGTAGGCTTTTGTTAACAATGTTAAATGACGTAGGCTTTTGGTTAAATGACGTAGGCTTTTGTTAACAATGTTAATGACGTGGGCTTTTGTTTACAGTTTGTTAAATGGACGTAGACCTCCGTTTTCAGTTTGTTAAATGACGTAGGCTTTTGTTAACACTCTGTTAAATAAATAGATGACGTTTTTTTTCAGTTTGTTAAATTAGGTAGACTTTTGTTTACAGTTTGTCAAATGAACGTATGTCCTTGCTTATGGATCGTTAAATTGACTTAATTGACGTAGGCCTCTTTGTTGGCCTAACCCACATTGCCATTAAACTTGAACTATTTCTGGATGTGTATATAATTACTTTGCCTCTGTCTTTTTACCTCCACCCAACTTATGGTCCCAAAAAACAGACCCCCCCCCCCCTTAGTTGATGTACATACCCTGACCTACCAAAAGAGTTGTGTGAAAACCATGGTGTTTATTCTTTCATCAATATAAAATCTTTGCTGATCACAGCTAACAACTTAGTATCTTAACACACAAGTAAGGGGTCATCCATAAATGACGTCATGCTTTTTTTTGACGATTTTTACCTCCCCCCTCCCCTCCGTCACACATCGTCACAAAAAGCCAGACCCCCCCCCCCCCTAAAATGACGTCACACCTCAGCCTACAACCCCCCCCCCCTCAAAATTGCAGTTGAATTTTTCTTCAAACGTCGAATATTTTTTCCAATATCTTGTCTGAACTCTCTCAACATAGAGTATTTTAATCAATTCCTATTACAATTTATTAAAACAGTTTTCTAAAACGGGAAAATTTGTTTTCTAACATTACTTTTTGTTAATGCAAAATGTGACGTCCCACCATCTGACCCCCCCCCCCCTCCCCCTCATCACACAACGTCACAAAATTTCGAACCCCCCCCCCCCTCCTACGTGTGTGACATCATTTATGGACTACCCCTAACAAACCTTTTCCCCTTGACAGCATTTATGGATGACCCTTTCTCCCCCCCCCCCCTCCCCCACCACCCCCACCACCCCTAACATAATTACTGTAGGCCTAGCTGTTTTTAAAAATCATACTTTCATTTCATAGCCAACACGACAGTTTGATATCCCAAACCAATTTAGCATTGAAACAATGGCATGTTTAATGTGAAGGTTTAATGTGACCCACCATAAGCTAGGTGTGTCTGGTAATGTTTGGACTGACCTTTATCTTCAACATCTGTATATTTCACAAGTAAAGGGGCAGCATAACCTTTATAGGGAGATTCTTAAAGGATAGCATAATGTAAGAAAATAAAGGGTGGTTTTTATTGGTGTTTTGGGCTAATGACTGTTTTATATGTATGGAGATAGTTTTATGTGTGTTTATAGAGACTGGTTTATATGTGTGGGGTGGTTTTATTTGTATGATGATTGTTCTGTGTATTGTGATTAATGATGAAAAGGTATCAGGTTTCTCAGCAAGTATAAAAGAGTGCAATATTGTTTTCCATAATCATTTTTTTTTTTAAACTAATTAAAATTTAGATGTAAGATGTTGACTGAGCATATGCTGACTCAGCAGTTCTAATTAGTCTACTGTGCTATATGGAAGGGGATTGACTTTTTTTTATAATGAAAGTTTTGTTTATCTCATATCATCATATACAGCTGTGTAGGTTATCATAGTTAGGGGTGTGCATATCTTTTTTCTGATTATTTGTTTAGTTCACTTTCATTTTTCAAAATGTATAATTAGATAACAGAAATATCTATTTATAGCCTGCACATGACCTGTACAAAAAAAAGACAAATAGAATGGCTGTTTGGGTCTGGATATAAAATCTCCCAATTTAGATCCTCATTATTACTGTTATTGAATAATTACCATACATTAATTAAGCATTAATTTTTTTTTTAGAATATGTTTCTTGCATTGTGATTTGACAGTGCACATGATATCTAGTCATTGCTTTAATAACGCAGTGTCATAATTTACTCTGAATGCTCACACTACCAGCTGATTCCCCATGGACCTCTGTCCACCTCTGGCTTGTTATTTGATCCGTTGCTGTGGGTATCACTTAATTCACTGATTGACATTCTGTCAATCAAGTCATGACCACCACATCCATTTTGTATTTAGACTTAGTGACAAAACACATTAATTAGCCACGTCACTTGCATATCACCTATTATGTTGCTATTGTCTATGTCAAAGATGAGGTTTAAGTTGTATTTATTATAAGCTTTACCAACTTTGCCATTAATTTATTAGTTGTTTATTTTTCTTCCATACTAATTTTAAATGTATCAAATGTGTATTTATATTTTAAATAAACGTATACTGGTTCAATAAGGATAATGTTTCTGATTTAAATACCATATTTAATCTATTATCAAGGGGATTACTTTGCAATGAACTGTAGCGTTTATTTACCATTGATTAACTTATTAGACAAGCTATTCTTTTGAAGTGAACTGCCAGCAAGGTTATTTATACATCATGTTTCCCAGTCAAAAACTGTGCATTAAAAACAGACTATAGTTTGCTTGTTGTGAATTGCTTCAGTAAACCCTGTAAATGCTTTATCCTTGTGTGTAGGGTAGGGCCTACCTCTTAAGAAAAGATATTATCAGGCATGTTACATCAAAGTGCTTTTGAACTAGTTTTTTTTTTCTGTTGGATAACAACTGTCACTGGTAGAACTTTTTTAACATTTTATAGAAGCTGATACTCTATTTTATCAAAAAAGTTTTTTTTACCAAATTACAAATACAGAAGCAACAGATCTCAAACAATGTATAAAAAATGTGATGTCAAAGTTGAAGCGTGAAAGATATCTTATTCACCAGGACTGTGGAGCCCCATTTACCCAGTTCACTGAAGGCCTAGTGTTATCTTATCCTTCAAACATCCACTGGCGCTATCTTTCCCTCCTGTGTGTCAGCCTGCTTGTCGTGGTCTACTTTGTCATGTCCACTACTTATCAGGCTCTGACCCCTGGATCTCAATGATACTGTTACATAAACACTTACCAAATGAGCTGTTTGTAGGTCATGATTTCTGTCCACTAAGGCTATCATACAAAAACTGCTAGCTTGGTGTCATTGACACCTTGTGATAAAACTAGTACAGTTTTAGAGACAGATTATTTCTGTTCATGGGTTCATTAAATGATTTATGTTATAGTCATGCTAAAAAATATCATGGTCACTGCACATAACACAGAAAAATGTGTGTTTCAATTATTATTTTTAAAAACCCCTAATATGGGAAAACTATTTATATTACAATAAATGAGTGAGAAATCATTGTTTGATTGCTAAACTTAGCCTAAATATGTGTCTTTTTTAGAGAGCTGTATCCTCTCTAAAACAACATTTTCTTGCTTGATAGTGTTTATACAAATACATTTACATCAGTTGTTAACTATTTTAAGAGTGTTTATTTATTCAAATGTTATTTTGTTAAATGTATTAAAAATCTAAAATCATGTGTATCTTAATTTAGTAGATGTAGAAGTATCTCCAACCCAGTACGTAATTGTTGTATGTGTATACTCAAATATTGACGTATTTGTTTACAGGTACAGGCAGTGAGAGAAGTAGTGCCAGGCAAGAGCAATAATGATATGGTTATGGTGCTGCAGTATTATGATTACAATGTAGAGAAAGCAATCCAGGCATTTCTAGAAGGTAGGTGCTTGACCTGCTGTTGTTCTCTGTGTATTCTCTCTACTGGTGGGGTATTGATCTCCTGCATGTTTTATAGCCTGTACACTCAGCCGTGTTGATTGTTGCTTTAATTGTCTTGTACGCATCAGGTTTATTGTCACTTGGTGGCTTTGTTCACATCTGTTTGTACACATCTGGTTGGTTTGTACACATCTAGCTAGTGGGTTTGTACACACCTGGCTAGTGGGTTTATACACACCTTGTTGGTGGGTTAGTACATATCTGGTTGGTGGGTTTGTACACACCTGGTTGGTAGGTTTGTACACACCTGGTTGGTGGGTTTTTACACATCTTGTTGGTGGGTTTGTACACATCTGGTTGGTGGGTTTGTACACATCTGGTTGGTGGGTTTGTACACACCTGGCTAGTGGGTTTATACACACCTTGTTGGTGGGTTAGTACATATCTGGTTGGTGGGTTTGTACACACCTGGTTGGTGGGTTTGTACACACCTGGTTGGTGGGTTTTTACACATCTTGTTGGTGGGTTTGTACCCATCTAGTTGGTTGGCTGGTTGTTAATTAGTGGTTTTTTACACATCTGGTTGGTGGGTTTGTACACATCTGGTTGGTGGGTTTGTACACATCTGGTTGGTGGGTTTGTACACATCTGGTTGGTGGGTTTGTACACATCTGGTTGGTGGGTTTGTACACATCTGGTTGGTGGGTTTGTACACATCTGGTTGGTGGGTTTGTACACATCTGGTTGGTGGGTTTGTACACATCTGGTTGGTGGGTTTGTACACACCTGGTTGGTGGGTTTGTACACATCTAGTTGGTTGGCTGGTTGTTAATTAGTGGGTTTTGACACATCTGGTTGATGGGTTTGTTAACATGGAGCTGGTTGATTGCTTGTCACTTGGTGGATTTGTACATGTTTTGTTTGGGAAAATTCAGGGTTGTCATCTGTTGTGTTTTTGTAGGTTTTTGCACTTAATGGGTACAATGACACATTCTGAGCTAAAATTAAATGCTCCGTCTTCTGTCAATGTCTAGAGTAGTCACAAAACTTAAATACACTCCATTTGAATGAAATATTTGCCTTAAACTTTTTACTCTATTCTGCATGAATTAAATTGTTATATTTCCATTCAATTTTTTCTATCTGCATTGTAAGTTCATAGGTTTAAATAACCAACATATTAAATATCATGCTTTTATGTTGTGTCCTTTTGAACCATACTTTATCCATCTAATTTCTACTCATGTAAGTTCAAATAATGTAAACAGTTGCTTTCATGGAATGTCAGTGGGGAATGTAGAATGTGCTTGCTAGAGAAAAGAAAAGCGTTCTGTCAAGATTTGTCAATAGAGAAGATGAAGAGGTCTTTTACTAAGTCCATGGCATATGAGGTGCTCATAGTTATATGCCATTACAATAATGAATCTTTCTTCCCCCCTTCACATCTATTTAAGAAATCTACCATGGCTGGGAAGATTGTAATGTCCTGCTTGATTATAGACATATACATTTACTTTTCAAGTTCTTTTTTTTATAAACATTTTATAATCATTATAAATTCCTATAGATTATCACAAATGTGTATGATTTTATAACATGTTTAAACCTGATATTTTTATAAAAATAAATCAATTACTGAATTTTTAATTTTTTTTTAGATGGTGCTAAAGAGGCACTCAAGGAATGGAACTTCACAGGGACAAAGGTTAGTTGATTGTTTTTAATTGCGTTTTTTTTTATTTCATGTATATTTCATCACAAATTTGCTGTCCTGCTCTTATTGACTCCTGAGTTCAATCATAATTAAATTTATGAAGATATAAAAGTATAAAATATCTCAATCCCGTGGAGCTATTAAAGTATGCTAGATTATCTGTGTTGTCAATTGGATAATCGTCAGCATATTTATCAAATACAACTTTTTTGGTCTCTAATCAGTTTCTCATGTTACTATGTATATTTATAGTTTAAAATTCCAACTTCCCAGTAAGTTTTGCTCTAGTTCAAGTGTGTAACTAGTATAATGTTACATTTTCCCTAGTTGAGTTTTCCTTTTTTTTAAATTCAAACTTGGTATACAGATTTTCATAATAAAATTATTTGTTCTTTTGTTACTAGCAAAAATAAATGGTGAAACAATTTTCCTTTGCAGCCCAATAAGAAACGTAAAAACAAAAAGAAAGCAAATGGGGAGAAAGCAGGTGACAAGCCAGGGTCAGCCCCACCTGCTGGGCCAACAAATGCCAAGGGAGAGCCATTGGTCAATGGAAAATCTGGTCTTCCCAATGGTGACCTCTCTCACAGTAAGTTCACGAACATTAGACTTTTAGTTAATAAGCCATACATAAATAATTGTATTTGTAGTATGTGTGTGAGGAGGTAGTGTTATGGTCAGGGTTCATTTTGGGATTTTGTAGTGTCACTATAGGTTAATGTAGCCTAATGTTATTGCAAGTTTTACTCTGGCTAGTTGATATGGCTGTGTAATTTACCAAAACAGTGATTGTTTTCTTTACCCTTGATTCATAACATGTGTACATGATTGTTCAGACCCAGCAGGACCTATGGAGGTTATGTATTTTCTAGTATCACTGCCATATACCACAACCTAGCCATGCTGGCAAGAAAAAAACTTGAGACAATAGTTTTTATTAGAGCTATTTAAGGAAGAATACTAGAGATTTGATTTAAGGCATTAATGTTACAGGAAACACTTATTGACTTTTTTAATGAAATGCGAGAGAAATGATTTTTTCTTTACTTTTCTCTTTGTTGTTGTGAAATTCACGAAAAGTGATATTTCTTTACATTTGTCTTTATCATTTCATGAATAACATGGCGTGATCGAGTCGGTAAAGCTCATGGTTGCTAAACCGAAAAGTCTCGAGTTCGAACCCTCAAGCAGATGAGGCTCGTTAGCTGGGGACAGCCACTCTTCTAGGAAAGACAACTCCAAAATCAAACCACTGCTGCCTTTAGTTTGTTCTTGGTTGGATAAAGGCTATGGAAGCAAATCCAAAAAGAAAAGCAGGCTGAAATCGGAGTCAATGGCCTCAATGGCGCAAAACCAGTTGACACGTAATCCTTAATTGTGATGGAAGCATGGTCGAGTCGGCAAAGCTCATGGTTGATAAATTTGAAAAAAAAAAGTCTCGAGTTCAAACCCTCTGGCAGATAAAGCTCGATCCCTCCCAAACACTAAAAAATTAAGAACGAAGAAGAAGAAGAAGAAAGAAGATTCTTTAAATCTTTACAATTTTTGTCTTTGTGCAGATAAATCTGACACAGATTCCCCACTAGACTCCCCCTTAGCCCAGCCCAAGCCTTCATTACAAGAAGTGGCAGCAGCTGTCACAACCACAGCATCACCAGCCACCTCAACACCACCACCTGCCACCTCAACACCACCACCCTCAGCATCTGATAAAGCAGCACCTGAACCCTTACCGCAAAGACAAAAAGGGAAAGGACATGGAGGTAAGGAACTGGTCAATTTGAAAGTCTTGTTTTGTTTTTAAAACAAAATTGATAACTCTACAAAATGAGAAAGTCAGATAGCAGTAACTGTTTATTTAATTAACAAGTGATATGTAGCTTAGCTGCATTATACTGTTGTTTACTTCCATTGAAAATCACTGCAACAAATTTCTAAGACTATTCTAAGATTACTGTAGTATAAATAAATGATTTATATTGCAAGAATACATAGCAGCAACAGATGTTAAAGATACATTGTTAACTGGTACATTGGAAAGGCTTGTTTTGTTTTTAAAACAAAATGGATGACTCTACAAAATGAGAAAGGCAGATAGCATAGCAGCAACAGATGTTAAAGATGCATTGTTAACTCCAGTGGCTAGAGTTTTTGATCACATGATCACAATTTTTCCACAATTATCTTGACCTTTTTATTTCTTTTGATAGAATTAAAACCTGTTGGTTGGTTTAATACAACATCACAAAGTTGTCTTGTTAAATTGTTTACTGATATATGAAACAGTTGTAAAAACTAAAAAAAAAATTTGGATAATCTCGACACTTACTCGTAAATGCTTACTAATTATTTTCCTTCTGCATTAATTGAAAACAGAAATGTCTTTTAAAAATGTAATTTTCTTACAGACTCGCACACAGCACATGCAGAAAAACCAAATTATCAGATGCAACATCATCACAGTAATAGAGAACGAACGGCTAGCGAGGTCAGCACCGGTTCAGGAATGGGAGATGGACATCACAAGAAACCTTTCCAAGGTTTGTTTTGTTGTTGAATTGATTTCTCTCTGAATGGTCAGTTTCAACAACACAGATTCAAATCAGATGTTTGATGGATTTGAAGTAAATATTTTTTTACAACTGTCTTAAAATCCAGGTCTTGAGAAGGCAATTAAAGATCTACATAGACAGACAACGTCTTTAGAGAGGCTGAAGCTTGTGTTAGATCATGAGATAGACAGGTCATACAAAAGTGTCAAGACTGTGTTTGAAGAGTTGCGACAGGGGTAAGGAATTTTAATTGCTGCGGGTGTCAATTTTGAACTGTGCTCCCTTTCTTTATGTAATGATATGTGTTTTTGGAGGGGTTCTTCATTTAAAGAAGCACTTTTTTCTATAAAAAAAAAATAACATATTATTCAAAATTGTTTCATCCCCTCTTTCTCTCTCCCCTTCCCCCACACCCCTTTTCCATCCTAGAAATATCTTGGTTTATGGTAGGCAAAAATTGAGGTTAGCTAGCTAGATAGCCTGGTTTTAACACCAACCAATCACGTTTTAACTAAGGTTGATGTTTAATAGGATTTGAGAAGTGATACATTTATTATAAATGTTTGGGAGCTTATCTCTCTTTATTCTAAGAATTGGTTGTTTTTTTTTTAAACTGAATCCCAGAAGATAAAAAATAATTTTAAATTGTCTGTTTATTTATAAAGTGTTTTATCCATTTTCTTCTTGAACAAACACAGATTAAACAGTAGAGAAGCACAACTCAATGCTGAGATGGACTTGCTAAAGAAGGAAGCTTGTAAGTATCAGTTTGTTAACCCACACCATACGCTTTGAAACTGGAGATTGATTTGTTAAATTTGTCATGTGTTTATCTTTTTAATACCTGCAGCTGAAATGCTAGAGATGAGACGGAGTAAAGCAGTGGATCTAAAGAGGCAGGTGGATAGGGCAGACAGGCTTAAGGACAACGAAGTCTCAGAGCTGCGAGCAGAAATCAAGGTATGGCTGCTTTCATTCATTCATACACCAGCCTGTCTACATATCGAGGGTATAGAGGACAAATGCTGCATGTCCACTTTTTAGGTCAAATCGATGTACATTTATACTGATATGTAAATAACACAAGTTGCAAGTATGTACGATGTCAGAAAAGTAGACTGCAAATATTTTACGAATGTTTAAACATAATATTCTGCCCTATTTTAATATTGGAATGAGATTTATTCTCATTATTCTCAAGATTATGTTTTTTTTTTGGACATACTGCTTTTGTCTTCTATACCCTCAATATTGTTACTAAATTATAGTGCAGTTCTTCAATTCTATTGCTCTAATTGAAGTGGCATTATTACAAATAAACTAGACTTATATTTTACCAATAGTTTTATTTATATATAGAGTACAGTTGGTATATTAATGAAGCTATACTGTTAGGGTTAACTTTTTTCATAAATCCAATTTTTCAAGTACAAAAACAATAATTTCTATTTAGAACAGAAAATAGATTATAATACAGACTGCTTGCATTTTCTATACTAGTTTTAGCGCTGATTAACAGATTATGCTCTTACCCTATACTGTTCAGTGTGTGATTGTTATGTAACATTCTATGACACTGTTTACTTTCACTGCAGCACTTTGTGAGCGAGCGCAGGCATGATGAAGAGTTGGGCCGTGCTACAAGATTTCTCTTTGACTCAGATCATATGCTGGCTGAAGTGAAGAAATTTGGAGAGGGTAAACAAATTCATGTTTAATGTATTGTTTACATTATGAATTTTGATACTTTCTACTGTCTCTCATATACAGAGTATAATTAGTGTAAAGGAAGTATAGTATTTTTGCAATGGGAGATGGACATTGCAATGTTATCTGTCTGTTAGCGTGTTTATAAACATGCTAACTTGATTTTACCATTTTAATTAGGTTAATGATATATTATCAAATTTGTAGTTTTCTATCAGTTTTTGAGTGGTTTCCGGTAGCCCAAGTGGTACTTATTTTACTTTCTATGGAGTATTGTTGCACTTAGGTGGACAAATTTCATTCTTAAGTATAATTTTATTCAATGGTTTCTTTCAAATTTTGTGTGATTTCAAGTGATTGGAAGAAGTAATTTCTGATTTATAAAAAAAAACAAGAATTTATTTAACTTGATTCCTCTGATTGTCTGCCATGGATCAAAACTTGTGAGAAAGATTTTGCCCACTTCTTTCAAATATGTTTCCTTCAAACTTTTCATGTAGGCCAAGACTGAGGACAATGCTTTGTGACATAAAATATGGCTTAATTAGATGTTTAATTAACTTTTTAAAAATCAAGTTTTCCTTCATAAAGTACAAAATTTCTGTTCTATTATACACACATTATTTGTGTTTATTTCATGCGCAATTATTTTTTCCATGGGATTCAGCTCCATTTTTAAAATTTAAGCTTTAAAAAATAATATAGCCTTATTGCATTGGAAGTGTCATCCTCCCTGGTATATGAGAAAGTTTAGGGGAGATCACTCCTGCTTTATTAAAAATTTAGGTCGATTTGAATCACTCAGTTCCAATATTTATCTGATTCAACCAGCAAAGTAAAAACAGCTAAACATAGTGCTACCACACAATCTTATCATATGTCACTGTCATAGAAATAGATAAACTCTACTTCACATCTCTTGTCATGGTATCAGGACAAATGATCTCTCATTTTTCCTGAGATCATTAGTCATGGAACCCTTGTCATCCTTTAAAACCTTAAGAAAAATGGTAAAAATTAACATCTAAACTCAGTCTTTTCGTTATTGTTGTACAATACTTTTTAAGATAAAATTTATGTATAGTATTGTAATGTTTCTGTGACCTCATCATATGAGAAGAGATTGTGATTTACGTAGGTTACAACTTTCAGGTTGGACATCCTACTGATTGAAACTGAAACTTGAAACTGAAAATTTAGTTATAATGTGCTATACCATTTTGCATGTTGCGTGTATATATTATAACTTGTTCTTAAATTTTAACATGAAATATTTCATACAACACTATTGAATTCTGCTTGCAGTTGTCCCAGTGAAATCCATGTACACAGCAAGGAGGGCCTCCATATCATCAGTTGCCAGCAGCAGTATTAGCCATGATGATGAAAATTCTCACTCTCAAGAAGCTAACCAGTTGCATGATAGGCTTAAAAACTCACTGAAACTTTCAGTAAGCTATTGAAATTTTCAATGTTTACTTAGAACTCAATGTAAAGTTTTCAGAGAATGCCTCTGAAATTAACTCTTTAAGCCCGTAATTATTTTCACGTTTTACCGGAATTATTTTTTTCCACTCATTTTTTTTAAGTACCCCTGCGGCTAAATGACCCATATCTTTTTACTTGTTAATTTAAACCCCACACATTATTGATGAAAATTAATCGTAATTGAATACCCTACACACTAATATAAACTTTAAGGAATTATTTATTTATTGAAGAAAGATAATTACTTCGTTTTAAAGAAGAAAAAATAAAGAGTTGATTTTTTCGTGCAAAAATTACGCTTCTGTCGGGAAAATTAATAATAAGAATAACTTTTCATGAGTTATTATTCATAGAAAACGAAAGTACGTCCATTTATCAATAAAAATCATGGATCGGATTAGTCTTAGTATATAAACTTTAATTTTCGTTAATTTTATAATGCGGCGACGTAAACGTTTAGAAGCGGTCACTGAACGGCATTCCGCAGTGTTAAAAAATGCCATTTTTCGAGTTGTTTTACAAAAAAAATTCTATAAAATACAAAATCGATCTAACGAGAAAACTACAAGAAGTAAATACAACGAAAAATGGCAGCTCGAGCGTTATCATGACCTAGATTTACGATTAAAAACTTGGATTTTGAAAAACAACAAATTAAATAGAGAAAATGTTATCGGACGCTGGGAGCGTCGTTACGGTATGGCAGGCCGGCAGACCGACCGCTGAGAGCGTCGTTACGGTCTTAAAGAGTTAATGTTTTAATTATATACTTTCTTTTGATTTCCAGCTTGATCCTATCTTTTGTGGTCTGATTACTAATTTTTTCAAAAAATATTATAGCCATCATAAAATTTAAAATACTTTACAGTCTGGGACTTTAGAACTATTTTACTTTCCCTATGGCCAGGCAAAATTGATGATGCATTTTTTACTTTCTCGTATATACGAAGTATAGAGAAAGTCTTGTAATCGTGCAAAAAAAAAAAATCGAGATTTTTGCAAATCTCGACGTTTTACATCTCACTGATACGGAAAAACATAATTTTGCAATCTTGTCCGTATGTCTGTGTGTCTGTGTGTGTGTCTGTGTGTGTGTGTGTCCGTGTGTAAACACGATAACTTGAGTACCGTTACAGCTAGATTGATGAAATTTCATATACAAGTATTTTATCAAAATCGTAGATCCGTATCAACTTTTGAGCGATTTCGGATAACCGGAAGTGGTACTTTTTCTACTTTGAATTTTTCAAAAGCCTATAACTTGAGTACTATTTCAGATAGATAAATGAAATTTCACATGTAAGTAAAAGATCTAATTCTCTACCTTCTGTTAAATTTTGAGTAATTTCCGTTGACTGGAAGTAGTAATTTACGCTACTTCCGATTTCTCAAAAAACTAATGTAAATTTTTAAAGTACTAATAATATTGCGCACTATTATACGCGTTTTTATTCGGCGTTTGCTTGGTGCGCAATGTTTTTTTTTATGAGATTCTATTCTATTTTTAAAAGTTTAAGTATTTAAAATGGATTAAAAATCATAACTATATCCCCAGTTACCATCCCCTGTTGTTTTATATAAGAATATTCGAGAAAGTTTAGGGGAGATCACTACCGGTTTATTTAACCACAGCACTTTTAAAAAAATTCATTTAAAAATAACCAGAAAACCTATTATACACAAATTGATCCAAGTTTATTATGTACGAGGTTAACTAGCATAATAGTTTACTATTAATAAATAGAAATTAAACATTGATCTCAGAAAAACGTATGCAAAATATTATTTCTCAGAAAAAAATATTTAAATGCTAAAATAAATTCAAAGTAATAGTCACCAAAATGACTTCCTTTTTCAATATCACTTTATTAGTTACATTATAAATAAAGCTTGATTCGGCGGTAGAGGCATTTTGATTATTTTTTTATTTCACTAATTAAATTGCCTTTAATTTTTAAAAAAAGTTATTAACTTTTAAAAAATCATAGAAAATGAACCACTTCATAGAAAATGAACCGCCAGTGAAAGAATCACAAGAAAACAATGTAAATAAAACTATTATTTCCAGCAGTCAGTATCTTAAAAATTTTGTTGCTATCTAGACTTCCATTACTAAGTGTAAATAAACATATTGTACATCGTTTGGGCGTGCAAGACTGTGCTACACAAAAAAATTCGCAGGTGGCATAGGACTGCTAAGGGTTAAGCACTATAATATTATTTATAAAATTCCTTTTTTTTTTTAAATTTAATTTCATAGAAATAAACTTTTAAAATTAATTATTCATGTCCTATACTCACCCGCTATTTTTGAAAACTGAATAATTGCTCTTGAGCCATTAAAACTTAATAACTTCTCATTGTAAAAACTGAATTTTTTACAGAACCCATCTAGTCCTGGTCCAGCAGCATCAGCTGTTAATGATACAGGTAAGTTGAAATGGTTCAAACTTCTCTGTTTAGTACTTTTTAGCATTTATAAAAAATCAGCAGAACATAAGTAAGTATATATATATATATAAATATAAATAAATAAATATATATATATATATATATATATATATATATATATATATATATATATATATATATATAAATCCTGAACCAACAGCAATGCCAGAAGAAAATTAAAAATAATTCTTATAATACCGATTTTTTACTATCAGCATTTCATATGATATTTAAAAATATTAAAAAATGAAAATTATATTGTTTCAGAGTTTTCTCAAGGTAGAAGCAATAATCGTAGGCGACCACCAAATGATCAACAGCAGTCATATCAAACCAATGACAAGGAAAGCAACCATATCTCATCATCTTTAGGTAAATTTCCATTGCCATTGGTATCTTTTTAAGTTTATTTGACATGATTCTTGTATTAACCCATTTTCTACTTCTGTGTCTGTCATTACTGCTATTTTTATCACACTATTATCATGGGGGGAAAAGTGCATCTACACTATTCTCATGAAATAAATATAGTACAAGAATGCGCAAGATTTTTTCCTCTAAAAATTGATGTTTTTAGCTATTATTATTTCATTCTAAATTGACTTTTGGACAAATTTTTAGCTTTTTTTCGCTTAAACAGTCACTTTGGTAATATCGTAGATTTCAGTTCATTTTGAAGAATCAGATAATTAAATAGATTCTAAGTTAATTAAGTTGTAGAATAAAAATTTTAGTAATATTAATAATGTTACTGAGGCATATCGAGACAGACTTATTAACCTTGCCCAAAATAATAAACAATTCTATGAATACATATCAAACTACACTTTTTCTTTGGGTTTAAATGTTTCTTAATTTAAATAATTACATTTTGTAATTTTTTTAAAACTAACCGTATCCATAAAAAATTTTTCGAACAAAAGTTATTTGTCTAAGGGTCTGGGGAAGGTTTATGAAATAAGCTTTCGTAGAAAATTTCTAAAGTATACACATAACTTTAAGATAAAACTAGTTTAAAAGAGGACATCCATCTTTACAAGAACAGCTCTTAGATTACGTAAAAATGGTTGCTGTCTTTAAATTAGATTTCATTCAGAAGGTTTATGTAATATGTATCATTTTTGTTTAGTTATTTGTGGAAATTATCATTTTTTTTAACCTTATTTTCAGATGTCAATTCGAACAAGCCAGCGTCGGCAACCACCGCCAGCAGTTACAACAGCAACTCTCCTAGAGGACCCTCAACATACAGGAATAGTAATACTGGAAGTCCTGGGAGGGGTGGGCGAGGCGGCAGCAATTATGTGCCTAGAGGTGGTGGACCTGGTAGGGGGAGAGGCTTTGGCCGGGGTGGCACCCCAAGGGGAGATTTAAGAGGAAGAGGCGACTACACGCGACGAACATACGGTCATGGCAATTACAGAGCACAAACTGTTGGCGAAAGGCCAGCAACAAGTACTTAACATTCAGTACATGTAACTACATCGATGGAGGATTAGAAGAATATATAGAATATATATTTTTAATACAAAATTATTCTATTTTTTAAAAATAACTATTTTTAAAGGGAATTTATTATACTGAAAAAAAGTGACAAAATTATCATATTGGGTATTGGTATTGTAGAAAAAAGTAAATTTTGTAATTTCATTTAGTACATCACATTGTAGTCTTCACAACTAAGATTAGATGACGAAAGCTCTACGTCAACTCGTAGTCAAAACAGCTTGATTAGTATTGTTTATGAAAAGCTTCTATCACAGAGAGGGAGTGAAGTGATAGTCGTCTAGAACTAACTGGAAGTTTCACTGCCACGGTATTGGCATTATGTCACTTAACATCTTGTCCTGACTGGGTATTTTTGTGTGCACACAATTTAAAATAAACAACATAAAACATTTGATTTTTCTGTGTACCTTTTTATCTCCCTTTAAGCTGTCAAGCTTTTAGATATTAGCACTTTTACATTAATTTCAGGAACTTTTGCAATGTTGTACTAATATTTCTTACAAATTGTTTATTTTCTCAACTTAATTAATTTGAAAAAAAAAAAAACTACAAAAATCAATTCTTGTTCTAAACATTTTGATATTTTTGTCAAAATTGCTATGTGTGCCACGTTTGAAAAAAAAATTGTTCCGGGGATTAAAACTTTGAAATGATTTGGTTGTTGGTTATAGAGTTTGTTTTTGTTATCTCAGTTTGTAGATTTTTAATCTTTTTTTTTTTCTTCATACTATTTTAAAACATTTGCCTTTGTTTTTTTTTAATTACTTTTTTTCTAAATTTAATTCCAGCGTACTATAAAAAAAACAAAAAAATAATTAAGGGTGATGAAAGTTTTAAATAAATTTTTTAAAAACAATTTTTATTAAGATGGTCATGTGGTAATGTTAAATTATTGTATGTTCAACTAGCATTAAGATCTGGTTGAGGAAGCTATAGTTATAGACACAGGTCAGTTCTGTTCATTTTTTCTAATGAAATCAATGCAACTGTGTTTAATTTTTTTTATCTTTTTGTAAATTCTTGTCTACCAAAAACAGTCTTATTTAAAAATGAAAAAAATCAAGTTGAGCTGAAAAATCATCAGCAAATTTTTTAAATTAAAAAAAAAATGTTCTAGAATGTAAACCTTGAAGAAAACTGGCTTAACAAAATACACTAGCCCGCTGTTTCCAATGAATATTTCTGCTCCCTTTTGTAAAAAAAATAACTATGAAACTTATTAAGACAAATGTGTTAATATGATCTGTATACTTGATACTGCTTAATACAGGGTACATTTGTAATGCCAAACTTTACGAATGTAAAGTTTGCAACATCCAGTGAGATTGTGTTAATGCTTCATGGTAAAAACAGACCTGTCACTCTTGATGCTATTCCTTCTACTATTTTGATTCTAATAATATTAAAATTTTGAAGAGCAGCTATTTTGTCTCAATATTAGTTGTTTTGTTTTTAAATTTCATTTTTCAGCATTGTTACCTTATTTCTTAAAAAAATTTTTGGAATTAATTTTGCAATAACAAAATAAATGAATAGGCAAGTTAAATTTGTCTAAATAGTGACATGTTTTGCCATATTTAAATAAATAAATGTAAAGCAACATTGGATGAACTAAAATTTTATGAATTGTATGAGAAACTTCACGTGCCCTACATCCTTGAGCATTCTTGTTCAAAAGGAAAGCTAAATTATGCAATATTTTTTATAACACACCTGTAATGATTTGTTGTTCTTTTTACGTTCAGTGTGTATGCAAGTGTATACTACTAACCAAATGTTATAATTAACAACTCATCATATTTTTTTTCTATGTTCACCTTTGTCTTGTATAAACCCTTCACAGATTTTTTTTTTTTTAAATAGCAAATTACATTTTTCGGAATTGTGCATTTTTAAATTTAAAAAACTAGCGCCCAACTTTTATCTTACTTAACTTTTTTATTAGGAAATCAACCACATTTATGTTTCTGTGGAAACAAATTAGAACAAAATGATAAAAGTGATAAAATGGGGATCCCTTGTCTCAGCATGAAAATGTACTGTTACTCAAACATTTTAGTAAGATTGCGTTTTTTCATATTTTATATACCTCCTGGCAGTGAGATATAATATTTATTATGAAAATTTTTACTAAATTTAAGACCAACTTTTTAATGAACAATATTATCTAATGTTCTCTGCAAATAAACCTGTAAATAAAAAAAAATTCTTTATTACTAGTATTATTCTTGTTATTATATTAACTCATTTATATCAATTGGTTATGTGCATTAATTTTCATACATTTACTCTTTGCTTCATTATATTTTTATTCATTTTACATATAAGCAAGTAAACAATGCACTTGAGGCATATACTGTTGTTTGCATGCTAATTATGGATGTATTTGTGTTCAATTTCCATAGTGATAGAAATCAATATTTTCTGTGTTGAGAAAAAAATTTGTATTGAGCCAGCTGTGTGAAGTCTTGGTACTTAAACCCACTTTAAAATGGGCCTTGTGAAATACTAGAAAATGGCAACCTTTTGCATAAAAGGATGTAATTTTTAAACAAATTTAACTAGGTGTACCAATCTTATGCCACGTTTACACTTGCGACATGTATACTAAACATGTCAAGTAAAAAACTTGCAACAAGTAAGTATACATGTTCCGTGAGAAAATTATTCATCTAACATTAACTTGCAAGTTTTTATTCCAGTTGTAGACATGTATTGTATACATGTCACAAATGTATGCACTGTGTTAGTCAATGATTGTATTGTAGTAGTAAAAGGGGGGTCTACTACAGTCAAATAATTGTCTTTTTGTCAGCTGGTTTAAAATTATTTTTTTTTTGTTTAAATCATTTTGATAACTTAACTTAAATAATATTTCTTTGCATTATTATTTTGTTGATTCTGTTATCGTTTTTCCCTAATTACTTTTGTTCATCATGTGTTGACTTTGTACCAGGCTAAATTTTAACTTTTGCTTGTCTTAATCTAATAAATGGGGAATATTAAATCAAAATAATATATTTTTAAAAAAACTAGCATTAAATACAGCTTTAGACCTAGAACAAATTTTATGTGATGTGTTATTTTGCTTTAATTAAAGGGGGAAAGCATTTAAAACTAATTAATGTAAACTGAATAAATATTTTACTATTCACCTGATTCTTCTGCAGTTAGCAGATTGTGATATTCTGTTATGTAGGTAGGAGGAAGTGGTCTTTTAGAACACAGCAGTTGGTTTTTTTTAAACTTTGGTGTAGGGTTTCTTTCATTCTCTGTAATTTTAGTTTTGTTTTGCTTTACAAAACTTGAAGCTTTTAGTTTCTAGTTTTTAGTCTCGTGGCAATTGGAAAATAGACAAATAACATTTTTTTGTGTCTTTCTTCTTTTTTTAAAAATATACAACACATTTGTTCCTAGTATTAAAGCCTTGCTCTAGGTTGTCAGTTGAAATAAGTAAATAACAGTGTTGTTTTTTGTATGCAGTGTTTCTTTAGAAACTATTACCTGAGCAAAGTGGAGATTGTGTGGATTATAACATACAATTATTCATCCACTTAATTTGTGACTAAATGCAGTTTTTTTTAATAACTCTATAAGTGATTGTAAATTATATACAACCTAACATTTTTACCTTACATTAATTGATTTTCTGTAACATTTCTTAATTATTATTTTTTATTACTGCTCTTTTCTGCCCTAAATTGTCAAGTTACTTTGTCAAAACCTTAATATTTAAAGGAACAAATTTTAATACTTTTTCAAAGTAAAAACAACACACTTGTAATTTACCAAAAATATCTTGTTTTCAAAATGATCAACAGTCACCAAAGCTACTGGGTACATTCATTAAATGCTGGGAAAGCATTTTAAATTTAAATTATATTTGTGTTTCTTCTTATTTGTGAAACCCTGTGACGATTTTGAGTTGTTTTACACCCCAGGTCATTTTGAGTTTAATTTATCTTAAAGCACTGTATATGTTCCTTTTACTAATGTCAACAAATTAAATTAGTTAATTGTCTGATATATGATTTCCATTTTTAAACTGAATTTTCTAGTTTCAGCAGATATTTTAATTATTTTTGAAGTTAAAAAAAAGTATTCCTTCACAAAGAAATGCATACATCAATAAATAGAAACTAATTAAAAATCCGCAAATCAATTTCCACACATTATGGACCTCATAGCCAGCGGTTTAAAACAACTCAAACTATGTTGCAAGGTAGAGCTTGTGACATGTACCTATGTTTAAGACCTTCCTAGTGCAAAAGAAATTCAGTTTCTACAACAATAACGTAAATTTTACTAAACATTTCAACCATTGTTCCTAGACCTGTTTTACAACATCTATCATTCTATGGTGGTGGTTTTATTCAACTACTTGCTAACCGTAGTTAATTGTTAGCATTTAATCATATTGTCATGAAATTTACTGTGATGATGAGGTAGTATTTATGTTCAAAATCAGCTTATGAAATGGTTGAGACAGTAAGCTTTGGAAAGTTATCCATTTAAGGTCTAGCCATCTTTAATCACTATTATCTGCTACTAGTTTAAATGCACATAGGCCTACATGAAAATTACCTAATTAGGTGTGGTAATTTTGATATTTTAAAAAACTTAACTGGCATAGTTTTTTTTTCCTCTCCTGGATAACTTGAATTAGCCACTACTAAAATGGTCTGTAGGTTTAGCAAGTTGTCTTTGTCTAAGGTTATGTTGCCAGATAGGCTGTTGTGTTAGTTTCAGGCCAGTTCTCATGTTGTACTTAAATTATGTTTACATTTACACTTTTCTGTTGTTGTCTTTGTCAATACATGTTTTTAAAATTACATTTTTTATTTGGTTCTGTTGTTTTCTCATGCACTGTCAAGAAAAAAAAATAAAGATTGCAATTTATGTTGAATTCATACAACTTTTTGCCTTTAACTATAACACATTTTTGTCATATGTTAGGTTTGACAGAAATAAAGGTAAATTATCAGAATTAAAACAATGAAAGGAGATCGGCGTGGTCGGTCAGTTAAGCTCTTATTTGCTAAACCGAAAAGTCCTGAGTTTAAACCCCCGGGCAGATGAGGCTAGATAGCTGGGGACAGCCACTCTTCTAGGAGAGACGACTCCAAAATCAAACAACTGCTGCCTTGTAGTTTGTTCTTGGTTGGACAAAGGCTATGGAAGCAAATCCAGATAGAAAAGTTGGCTGAAATCGGAATCAATGGCCTCCGGAGTCAACAAGTTGACACTTTATACATTATTGTGTTGGATGGAATCTCTTCCAAAACTAAAATTAAGAATGAAGAAGAAACAAAGAAAAACAGCGGGAACAGATATAGTAACTTTGTTCATATGAAATGTTATAGTTATTTGGAAGCAGAATAGTATATGACTTGACAAATGGAATAGGGTGGCTCTTCATAACTGTTGTCATTCATGAGGGGTAGGGTGTGTTTTTTTCAACAATTTCAAGATAGTGGCACTGGTTAGGTGTAGGCAGTTTCTTTGACCATCTCTTCAGAGAGGCACTACTACAAATTTCTCGGTTGTGGGGCAGATGCTGATTCAAGTATATATTTTCTAAATAAATTATTTTTCAGTTTGCCCAGGGGTCAGGTAAATGTGCTTCAGCTGTACAGCAAAATGAAAAAATGTATTCATAAACCAGTGTCAACTCTCCTCCCTGGAAATTTCAAGAGTAACAGCCCCCCCCCCCCCCCCCTTTCTCCTCCCCACAGGGGAAAATGTCTTAAGAAACCATGGTGGCAGGGGAGGATTGAGAGATGTATCGTAGTATATAATAATATGCTACATTTTTAATTTTAACCTTCTGTTTCAGTGGCGTAGCTAGGGGAGGGTGGGTGGGGTGGCCGCCCCAGGCGCCGACCCTAAGGGGGCCCCAAAAGGGGTTGAAAATTAATTTAAAAGCTATTTTTAAGCTGGTATTGAATTATACACAGTCAAAGTTACAAAAATAAACAACTACAAGGCTTTACCACTGATTTAACTACTTTCTATATCGATTTTGTGGCACTGAAATATAAAATGTTACAGGATAATAACTGGTAAGAATCACCTCAAATTTTCCAATGAGGGGGGGGGGGGCGGCGCTTTTTCACAGAAAGGAGTAACGATATATATATATATATATATATATATATATATATATATATATATATATATATATATATATATATATATATATATATACATATATATAGGCCCTATATATATATATACATATATATATACATATATATACATATACATACATATATATACATATATAGACATATATATACATACATATATATATAAATATATATATACATATACATATATATATATACATATATATATATATATATATATGCCTCTGTTCTGTTTAACAAGAAAGGAACTTATTGTGCTGTTTGATGTTCTTTCTTCACAACCAGAGGCGTAGCGACCCTTCCCGGCGCCCGGGGACAAACTTTTCGATTTGCACCCCCCCCCTCAAGATTTCGATTTGCACCCCCCCTCGAGATTTCCACTTGCACCCCCCCCCCCCCTCGAGATTTCCATTTGCACCCCCCCCCACGAGGTTTCCATTTGCATCCCCCCCCTTCAAAATTTCGATTTTCACCCTCCTCAACCTTTCAATTTATTTTTCCAACCCATTTTGGCGCCCAGGAACATATGTCCCCCGCCCCCCCCCCCCCCCTCGCTACGCTACTGTTCACAAAACACGCATTTTACAATGCCATATAGATCTACTTCATAAGTCACAGCTTATAGATTTAGTTTTGATGTGAAATAACTCTAGCAACATAAGATGAGGGTGTCGCACTTCTTACACCAGCTCTGTCGTCATGACTGTCGTCATTAAAACTGCCGAGCAATATTTCGAGCACTTCTAACTGACCGATTTGTTTCATATTTCAAAATTGGTACGGGGGGGGGGGGGGAGAGACCCAATGACAATGCTATCGTACATCAAATTTAACTCAATTTGATGTCTAATTAATTGTTTATGAATTAATTAAACTTTCCTGAACTTAGTAGGGTGTCCTACTACTATTCCGCACTATTATACGCGCAGTGTTTCTTCCGGACTTTTTTTCTCCGGGGGTAGGGGGCACTTGAAATTTTCTATATAAATTCCATTTCGTTAGGGGGCTCTATCGTCCCCCCCCCCCCCCCCCCCGCGAAGAGAAGCCTGGAAGAAACGCTATTTATTTGGTTTGCAATAGTTTTTAGTAATGCAACTGAATTGTAATAAAACAAGTTAATAAAAAGTCTAGTGACAATTTAATTTAAGCGCAATTTCCTTATGTTATCCATAACAATTTTTAATTTTTTGTGACCAAACGAAAGGATATTTTTTTGCGCTAAAAACCTACACGATGCTCAGTTTAAATTAAAAATATCCTAGGCCTACACGATGCTCAGTTTAAAAATTCTTAATTAATTTTGTGTGACCGAACGAAAGGATATTTTTGAAAACTTTCTGCGGCAATATTGTTCTAAATTATGGCAGGAATCGATTGGTAAATGTTTCAAGTCGCTAAGTGGTCTGGTTGCCGAGATATGGACCAAAAACTGCATTTGTTAGAGGTTTTTTGGCGTTTCCGGGAAATCCAGGAAGGAATTCCGGGAATTTTTTGGCCCACAATCATCCTTGGAACTTGCTTAGCATATTTGCTTTTGGAACTAGTCCTCGATATTGCTTCGTTGAGGAGGAGATACGACTTAAAGCTGCGGACACACATCCATCCAGAAATGACGAGTTAATAATCGCAATTGTCCGTATGGAAATTGCGCTAAAAATTTAAGTAGGCCACTGAAAAAATGAACAAAAACATTTTAATAACAAGCTTTTATGTAATGATGCACTAAAAGGAGAAAATAAATGATTTTCTTTAAATATATAATAATACATTAGAATCTACTATTTAAATAATATAAAGAAAAGAGAGGGTCACTATTGGATACCTTATAGTTGGGAAGAGACCCACTCTCTTCTTTATATATAGTGATTTAAATATTAAATGTATTAGGCCTATTATAAATTTAAAGAAAATCATTTTTCTCATTTTTAGTGCTTTATTACATAAAAGCGTGTTATTAAAATGTTTTCTATGCATTCTTAAAATATAAGAGCGCAAAGTAGATGCTAAATTAAGTTTAGCCCCCCCCCCCCCCCCCCAAAAAAAAAAAAAAAAAAAAAACCAAGCACTAAATTCACTCATAACACTAACAACTTGTATTCTACTAGATGTAGATAGGCCAACTTTTACTAGAGCCTGTATTAATGCATCTAACTTTAAAGAAAACCTGCTATAAGTATAAGGGGGTCGTCCATAAATGGCGTCACACTCACAAGGGGAGGGGGGTCCATAATTTTGTGAAGAGGGGGAGGGGGGGTTCAGATGGTGCGACGTCACACTTTTGCATTATAAAAAAGCAATGTTAGAAACCGAATTTTAGGCGTTATTTCGCGTTTTAGAAAACTGTTTTAATAAATTGCAATAGAAATTGATTATAATACTGTATTTTGACAGAGTTCAGACAAGATTTTGGAAAAATATCGATGTTTTAAGAAAAATTCAACTGCAATCTTGAGGGGGTTGTAGGCTGAGGTGTGACGTCATTTTAGGGGGGGGGTCTGGCTTTTTGTGACGACTTGTGACGAAGGGGAGGGGGGGGGGTAAAATCGTCAAAAAAGCGTGACGTCATTAATGGATGACCCCTATTACTCGTGTAGATGACCCCTAAGTAAGGGTCTAGGTGGAGCTTACAATAGCCTAGCCTAACCGGTACTTGATTTCTCTTTGCTACCTAACTGGTTTTAAAAAATGTGGATACGAGGCAGTGAAAATGTTTGCTATGTATATGTAGCCTAGAAAGAAAGTTAGCCTTTATAGTCGTCATACTCTGTGACGTATGTTGCAAAATTAGCTATTTACGGAATGGTAAACAACCTTTAAAATTATCTCAAGACTATAAAATTATTGCTCTTAAACTTGTTTTTCGCGCCATAATATTTAGCGTAGCCTCGTGGTGACAAATATGTGTTGCCCTGAATGGACACGGATCAAGAAAAAGTAGTTCTGTCAGATTACTTTGTATTTAACAATATGGTAGAGGGCACAACAGAAAACAAATTATAAATTGTTTTTAACCATCTTTATTGAATATATGCATATGACAAAGTGTACATAATATACATAAAACAAGAGTTACAAAAGATCTTAGTCCAAGTATCAATTTATTCCTACACGCAGTAGTAACACTAATACTCGTTCCATGGCCAAACCGCAATGCGCCGTTCGGCTACACATTACACACATTTTTTTTAAAAATTATTTTGTATATCCCTTCCTTTAAAAAAATTTCAGGCCTCTAGATCTAAATATTTTATTTTATTTGTAAAACAAAGCAATGTTGTCCAAAGACCTAGAATTCAAGATCTAGAACCAAAACTATATAAGTGAACTAGGCTAAAACTCATACATAACAAGATCTATAATAAACTCCTAAATAAATTGATTAAATTTTTTTTTAAATTATATTATCACTATAATAATGATTTAGCTAACCATGGCAACAACTCCTAGCCATTGTTTGTGTTTTGATTTCCCCATAGCCACTATGCACTATTTTACACGCTCCAGCATCGACTATTTCCGGTACGGTTTCCATGTGACCTCTTCATCGAAAGACCATTTGTCTGGATAACATGGCCAACTGAAGGGGGATATCCACAATCTAAATAGAGGTCTTTAAATAAAGATCTGTCCTGAAATTTGCCTGTAATACGGGGCAATTTTACACAAGCCACTCTGGCTTATTTACGGTAAGGTATATATGTCAATTACATATGTAATAAACATACTTTGAAGGTAAAAAAACAGCGCAGTGAAGGGCGAA